TGCTGACGTTAATATAAACATCAAAGCACCACTGTAGTCTATTACAGCATCACAGAGACATACTAAACTACCTGAAGGTGGTCTTTAGTCTTGTTCAATTAAGAAAACAATGGTCTGTACTTTCCAATTTGCCCCCATCACCAAAAGAGTTTCTCGTTACAATATACCATATTATGTATTCCAATATTTTTCTTTGTTAAAACAAGATACTTATATATCATGAATGTTGTCTCATTGTTATAAACAAAAACGTTTTTTAAAGAGAAAAGTACAAAGGACAAGTCCTCCACATGAAAACTATTACAAACAAATATGTTACTTTGTGACATAAAGGTGAAATTAAACTGAACAAAATGGTTGCAAAACGGGATGTTAATGAGACACAGCGACACACATAGTCAGCTGGAAAGAGCATAGAGAGCAGCTTCCAGATTAGCCCAGTAGCTTCCTCCATCAAATCCTTCCTCCTTTTCTTGTCCTTGATAGATCCCCTCTGGCTAAATTAATTTAGCTTTGTCTTATTCACAGCAGGTTTATTGGTTTGCTCCCTTTTTGACTCCCTGAAGATTTCTGTAATTAAAGATTCTCACTACTGTGAACAAAAATGGTGTGTGTGTGTGTGTGTGTGTGCGTGTGTGTGTGTGTGTGTGTGTGTGTGTGTGTGTGTGTGTGTGTGTGTGTGTGTGTGTGTGTGTGTGTGTGTGTGTGTGTGTGTGTGTGTTGTGTGTGTGTGTGTTGTGTGTGTGTGTGTGTGTGTGTGTTCTATTAGTGGTAATGTAACAGTGGGTCCTTTTGCTTTGAGGGATGTGGTGTTATTTCTAGGTGTACTTGTCCTACAGGCGGTAATGTGTCTCTACCTGAGAGTTTTTGTGCACAGTTCAACTCTTCTTTGTTTAATATCCGAGGTTCAAAAGCGCTTTTGTGTATTCCCTGTGGGTCTTTGAAGCATTGGGATAATGGATAGGTTATATTATGCATGCACCGCTGCTTTTACTCATAAGACAAAAAAATAAATAATCTTTTCCGGGGTCCTAAATTATTGCAGGAAGAGCTTTCTAATTTGCCAAGTAAAGTTTGAAGAATACAATTCCTGCCAGCATGACATATTTATTTGATTACTGTTCCCGGTGCTCAATAGAATAGGAGGGAGGTATCTTGTGTGGCACCCTTAGGAGGTCTTTCTTCTGTAACTTCCACCAATTAGAAATCAAGTCTGAGCCTGTTGTTGTTGCTGTTGCATATCAATAGCAAGCAGAAAATAAGATCTTAAACATCATCACCTCATGTTCCCAATGTTTTAAGCAATGACATGGATTTCATAGAAGGAATTAATTAGGATACAGAGTGCAGTTTAAAACCAACTGATCTTTTTACAAAATATCACTGGAAACCAAGAGCAAAATATATTGAGGATTGCTGCTTACACACAGATTTACACAGTCATAATAAACAGTATAGTTCACATATTTGTTCTTATATATTGGAGTGAGATATCCTGTTGTATTTATTATTGTATAACTTAATGCTGAAATTGTAACTTGATAGACAGAAAATCAATTGGCTGTCATTTGTCAAGCAAAGATGGCAAACATTTTCCAGGCTCAATTGTGATCTTGTTTGGTAGTATACTTAATGTTTTGGGAATTTGGTCCTTTGATTGGCAACCCAAAAGATCTAACGACATAACCTTGGGCTTTAGGAACTGTTGATGTTAACTTTGTAATTTAGCTATATTGCAGCATTTTCTTCACAAACAACTTTTGCAAAGCATAAAAGTATTCATCAGCCAAAACGACCATAAAACATGGGTGTCTAAATGGTTGAAAGCTTGTTCCTGTACACACTGAGTTGTTTATTGCATAGCTGGTTCACTCTGCAGCTAATATACAGTCACAGCTTGTCAGCACAGCGCAGATTCACTTCTTCTGTAACCCAAACTCTTTTTGTCTGTAGCTTTTCAGGGGCCTTAAGATAAAGTGCTATTTCTGGGTAGAACCGAGAGGGAATTGATTAGGCTACAGGAGGACTAGGAAGGAAAGAGCCAAAAACGATTTAAATAGAGTCATTTCTCTTTTGGAAACTAGTAAGAAAGAAACACTTTCACAGTGGCCCATGCGACCAGGATAGTTTTCCACCTGACGATCGATGAGAGTCTTTTACTGGATGAAAGGTCTCCATCTACCTCCTAACAACACACACACACACACACCTGCACAAAGAGCAGAGAGCACTTATACACACAGCTGGAAAACACTTCATCCAGTCTTTGATCCGCAGTATGTTGAGTGCAAAACCTTTTCCATCAAATCATATCAATCACTCTGTTGTGCACACTTCCAAGAACCTTCAGCTGGGAAATAGCACCATTGCTTTGAGTAAAGTGTGAATCTTAAATGTATTGAAAGCATCTAACTCTTGCACAAAACATTTACTTCTAGGAGACACTCAACTTTGAAAAACACATTCTGCAAAGACGTTGTAGTGAAAGCATTTAATGGATGCGTGGTACTGGATAAGCTGTGGCTTCAAATTGATAACAACTTGGTCATGTTACTCTGTTGATGCTTTCAACTTCTAAATTTCCCCATGGGGATAAATAAAAGTCCATCTTTTCCTATCTTATCTTAAAAGATGCTGGTTTTATTTAATATTTTAAATGTTGATGCATCTATTGTCACATTTAAGTCACCATGGACATTTTTACCAAAACTGCCTAATCTTAGTTAACTGCTTTCAGATGCCTAAACAATCGATATTTCCCTACAATACAGATATTGTAAGGAATCAGGTGGAATATATCAAGTATGGGAGAAATGATCAGGAAAGATGAGGATACTTGGAACGTTAGTATTAGGATCCTTGCAGTCTGCTTTGTTGTTAACAGGGTTAGGATGAAGTGTAAATAGTCTCCGTGGGGAATTGCACAACACTTTTGCTCTTGTGCATTTGCCCTGAAACAAGCGTTAGATAATTCACCTATAAGTTATTTTAGGACTCTAAAATAAAGCCCGTTCACGATTACCCTGATGCTTCCCCACATGGAACACTTTCAACTGGCACATTCCTCTCACTGTGACACACAGCTGATGAATGAGGCCATTAACACACATGGAGAATGAACACAGTAAACTTCAGAATCCTCTCAGGTTTTTGTTAATGATCTCACCGATCTGACAGGCTGAGGTAAGGCAGATAAATGAAAGGTGATGTTGTGGTGAAACATGAGAAATGTTTTGTAATTAGTGTTTAATTGGAGCAATGTGGCTTTATTGGCAGGATATTTAATGTATGGGTCTCATATAGACAGAAGGTTACATTTGGTTCTGTCCGGATCCAACTCACAACTCAATTCAAGCTATTTAAACAAAAAAATGCTTTGCCGTGCAGGCACATATTAGAAAAGAGAGAACAATTAAAACATACTGAAATCACAAGTTTCTTAACACACAGATAACCAACCAACCAAGACACAGTTCCAGATGAAAACAATTATTTAAAAGCTAGTGGACATTTTTCAAACCAAGACCTAAAGCAACAGGCAGGTCTTTGGTTAGAGGATCTGACGTCAGTGACCGCATGGTCTCAGGACAGGAGCTCATTAATGGAAACACGGGGGAGACCGTGCTCTGCAGAGAGAGAGAAAAACACGGTTCAACTCACGTCCATGACTAAGAGGAAGCCAATAGAGAGACATGGAGTAATTTGTTCTCTCTCCTACTTGATCATTTTAAAAGCCTTGACACAGCGTTCTGAACAAGCTGGAGACAGAGTGAAAAGATCTGATTCATATTTTTCTAATCTTCCGCTTTTCTTTTTTTACATATTTTCCACATTTAAATGTCTTGTACTAATTTTCATTTTGTGCACATTATAATTTCATTCTACCTGTCACCTTGAGTGGATTTAAGGACGGCGGAGATTTAGTATTTGACAGGCTTTAAACTTTTCAAAAACCTTAACACAGACACACACAAACATAAACACACACACACACACACACACACACACACACACACACACACACACACACACACACACGCCTGCGCACGCACACAAAAGGACATAACCTCAATCTGAATTACATGATAATTCTGCATTGGAAATTGGCACTGTCATTTTGACCTCAAGGCAAATATACACGAATAGAAAGAGCTACATTTCACATATTATGACATAAGAGAGAAGGATAAGATACATTCGTTTGAATGTGTGCAAAGGGGATTTTTTTAAGATGAATGGTTTTAAAAGCAGCCCTTATTCTTGATTCCCCGAGGTAAAGGAAAACCATGATCTCCAAAATCTCAGCGTCAAGTTTGAAATTACATCAGTTGCTTTGTTCAATTAGGAAAATGTTTTAAAACCGACCATAAATTGAGTTTACGATGTTGGATCATATTTCTTAGCTGGGAGTAAAAGCTCTGCTTCTTGTGTGCTGAACGAGCCAAGAGATGATGGATTGATTTGAAAGAGTTCTTAAAATGAAAGGCGAGAGATCTGAAAGTCTGGAGGGAAAACTGAACTATGTTCACTAATACAGAACTCCTCACTCCACCCGATCACTTGAATATGAAGTGACAATTTAACATGTTGGCCAGTTGAAATGGCTACTGGACGTTTGCCCCGGTGTGTAAAACTTCTAGTAAGCATAAGCATAATACGGTATAACTTGCACAACACATCATACTGAAGTACACGTCAGCCCTCAACGTAGAAAGTTTACGGTATGTTACAGCCAGTTAGAGCCTCCGAGGTTTCTCAGGTTGAGCGTATTGCCCTGTTCAATGACAGTAAATACTGAAGATAAAATAAGTTAAATGGATCAAATAGATTTTTGTTGTGGAGTATTATCAGAAGGACTACTTCACAATTGGAAAAGGAACATGCTTTTTTTCTTGCTGCAGTGGCCTGTATTGATCAATTAAGAGTGGCCAAGACTAGACAAATTGAAGATGTGTTTCCACTAATTTATGTTTAGCTCTTTTCGTTTCTTTATTCCACAGGGGGATCCAAGGGAAGAAATGTGGCACTATCGTCCTGTCCGCAGAGGAGCTGAGCAATTGTCGAGTAAGTAAGCCATAATAGTCTCCCCTGCCCTGCCAAACACACATTAGCATACAAACATCTGTCAGTGTAGCCTGGTTAAAAGAAACATTGTGCAGGAAGTGGATTGAGGAGGGTAAAAGCTTAGGGGGGCAAATAAGTGCAGACACACAGCTATAGACAAAGAAATGTCATGCTGACCCTATTCAGCCCACTTTGAGAAGTGTTTTATTTGCACAGAATCACACATCTTCTTGGGGTATTACTATGTTATCAACAAGTCATTTTACAACAATACACATGTTGCGGTTCTGAAAAGCCATGTCAAAGCGGAAGTACCAACATTTTGCATTCTCTTTACTAGCCAGAAGGGGTCAAATCCATTGGTTGCAAAAACAAGTCGAATTGTAGAGAGGTCTATGAGAAGATTACCCCTGCCTACTACTAGAGTTATTACCTCAGTAAAACATTTCAAATAATTGAACGACTTAATCGCCAAGTATAACTGTTCCGTATGATGGTAGTTGTGTAAATAATTGTTCTATTTTGACTAAATAGACAAATAGAAAAAGCAGGGTATCCTTTAGGGTGGCGCTACATTGTGATTGACAGTTACATCCCACGCTGTTCTCTGATGTGGGTTTCATCCGTGTTTTCGTCTTAGAACTTCGCCCGTTTCACAATGTGTCTTCAGTTCATGAGAAGTAATCATGACGTTTTAGTCCAATCAAAATCCACCACCCAAAAAAGGCCTCAACTTCAGGAGCTTTAAGGTGAAACTAGGTATTTCTATCCAGGCTCAATGGGTAATGCAAAATGCTTGTCTGCACTGCATTAGTTTGTATAAATGTATTCTGCGATGGTTCTGGCCTGTTTGAAGAGGTTAACACACATTTAGCATTCACAAACCAACGTTATTCATCAGTTTCATGATGCACTCTGAAGAGAAGTGGGTATGTGGTGTTTGAGTGCTTATGTGTTGCTGTTTTTGATATTCTGGCTTTGAAGAGCCAGGCAGACATATAGTAGGACCTTAAAAAAACATATATAAACATATATTTTACTGTAGACTATGTTATGTTATTTTGTTTTTGATCTTTAATGTGAAGTAACAGATAATAAGTGTTCAGTGTAAGGCTGTAGCTGAGTTATATTAGTGGCAATAACTATCTACCTACAGTGCCACACTTACACACACACACATCTCTCTCAGAGTATAACACTCTGCTGAAGGTGCACCTGTCTAATGAAAAAGCCCAGGAACATGATGGGGTGAGCGCTGATCGGCCCCTCCACCATCACTGTGGACTGAAGCTTCGGATGCTTCACTGGGCTCCCAGCACGCAGATTAGACAAGGATATTGAAAAGCAAGAGAGTGCAACAGAGCAAATGGCACAAAGAGAGGGAAGGTAAAGGAGAAAGACCAAATGGCACAATGATAATAGAAGAGCAAACAGGCAGTGATAAGATGGAGGGAAACAGAAATGTGTGTGCGATTGTGTGTCGAAGAGAGAGAGACAAAAAGACAGATAGAAAGAGACAGTGAAGTGAATCAATAAAAGATTATTTCACGTCAGGCGTGTGGCTCTTAGCTATAAGAACAGCTTGGCTTATGATAGTGTGAAACAGAGTGTTGGTTAATTAAAACGCAGCCCTGTCTGACCTTGTCCCTTGTAGCGTATGTAATAGACACACACAGACAGACACCCTCTCTCACACACTCTCTCTTTCTCTCTCACAAACACACTCTCTCTCTCTTTCTCTCTCACAAACACACTCTCTTTCTCTCTCACACACAAACTGTACTACTAAATAATAAACCAGTTACTAAAAGATCCCCAAATTATCTCAAAAGGCAATAATTCAATGTTGGGTTTACAGCCTCAAAGTGAAACTAAGCCTTTCTATCCATACTCAATGAGAAAAACATTATTCTGTGATATCTTTAGTTTCAACACTTAGCTAAATGTCTGTGATCCTCTCACTGAGTAAAACAATATTCAATATCAAAGATGCATTGTGAATATTTTGTACACATTTCCCTAAAATTAAGTCAGACACATTTGGTTTCTTTGGAAACACTGAAATCTTGAATTGAGCAAAGAACTCATCTGCATAGCATGATTTGAAAATAATGGATTCATTGGAGGTTGTGGCTCGTTTGAGGAAGTTAATGCATATTTAGCATTCATAAGCAAACATTTCTCATCTGTTTCATGGAGCAATCTCCATAGAATTGGGTATGTGGCATGGTAAACATGTGTACTTGCTCATGATTAAAACTCATCCGAGATCTATACACGTGGTTTTCAGTCACAGCCAGTATTGTCCAATATGGTGTAAACCTTTACATCAGACGACTCTGATAAGTGCTTTTTAAAAAACGTGGGGATGTCATAAACATTTGGTTCAGCTCTTTTTTAATAAAAAATGTATACACAAAGATTGACACTACTTTCAGCAAGACACTTGAGGTCACAAGCTTTTAATTTATTTAAGTTGGCAGTTTCCTTTTGGCTTCATAAAACTACAAAGTGTAAAGAAGTCTCAAGAGAGAGACACTTGAATTGCTTGTACCATTTGTCTCACATCAGGGGTTGAACATCATTAGAATAATGCTCAAAGGAAGAGCAGCTTAAGTTAATAAAACAAAGTCATAGCAAAACAGACATCTTTGCTTGAACAGAAGGTCACAGTGCCCGTTCTCAACTTGACTAATGTGGTCACAACCTCCAATGGCACAAGAAACATGCGGGAAAATCCATTAGCAGCCCAAGATGACCAATCACATTTTAGCAGATGCTCTAAAATGAATACAAACTGAATGTGACTCTTGTAGTGTGACTCCAATATTATACAATCCTGTACTACATGATGCACCTATTAGCATATTTTTTAATTAACTGATTTCCATAGTTCAACAGTTTTATAAACCTAAACCATATGGACAAAATACAATGAGCTTGAGAAACAAATCCCATTTCATCAAGTTTATCTGGCGTAAAGTAAATTTAGCAATTTAAGTTTAGTGAAACCTTTCTCAAACTCCAGGCGCTGGATATTAAAAGTTTCACTAGATATCCCAACACTTTGACCATAACAATATGGGTTTACATACATTTGATTAACTCCCACTCGCAAACATTATCACACCGAAGCAACCCATTTCCGAGGGTGGCTACGGCTCCCAAATACATTAGGGGCTTCACAGTTAAGCAGCCTTTAAAATAAATGTCTGCAACAGTAAACATGGATCCCGCAGGATTTCTGAGGAATACAACTAGCAGTGGAACAAAAAATGAAATATTGTTACTGATAGCAAAATACACAAACGTATGTTAAGCCTAATGCTTATAGCTTCTCAAAACTCCATATGTACAATGTTATGACAATATTGACTTCATGTGTCTGCCCACATTGGAGTTATTATCCTGCATAATTGCGTCCTTCTATAGCACTAACAGTATCTCAGTCTAGTTGCATCTCTCTACAGAAAAGCAATTTGGCTGGTTCTCAAGGGAAATCTTTGTTTTTATTTATTTTTTCTAACATATCTGCAACAAGGAATGTGAGCAGAGCAGCGTGGGAGCAGAGCAGCAAGCCCAACATGATTTTGATTCTGCTCTATTTCTACTAACTGAACTGCTGGACTGTTTTGCAGTCTGTCTTTTGGCCACCAGCAGTGAGTGTAGATAATCCATGACGGACAGATGTGTGGTGAGGGTCTGTCTCTGTGTGACAAGAACCACTGTTGTTTGCCTATCATCCAGGCCCTCTACCTTTTAAATACACATTTATTTATCAGGATAATTACAACTTTGATGAAACATTCTCATTGTCTTATCGACTTCTAACAGAAGATCCACATCTGTCAACCTCACTTCATGAGTCTCCACCTCATTTAAATGCCATCTAAATGTTGCTTTGCATCGTGCAATACACATGAAGGGCAGCATGCACATCATTTCCTACAGAGAAAACTGGTGTTATTTTAAGGTTAGCAGAGAACAACTGGGATAAAGAACATTTCAAATGTAGAAAATAGACAACCTGGAGCAGCTGGGAGTGGAGCGATAAGAATATGTGGGTAGAGAGTGGAAAGCAGAAATTGCTGATGCTCAATTCCAATCACGTACACAGTTTGGCAATCCTTATGCCACAGGATAACATAAATCACAGATTTAGTATCCTCAGGTTTTAAATCAAGCAAAAAAGGGGGAAGCTCATTCAAGCAAGGAACCACTCATGTAAAGGAATGCCAAATCACTGAGGACTATGTACTGAATGTCACGTATCCTTAGATTGAGTGTGTATTGATTTGTGCACTTTGAACACGGGGGGGGGGGGGGCCATCATCAAAACAGCAGGAATAATTTTTCTTTCATTATCATTTTAAATCAGCCTCCTCTTTTTTAACCCGTGAGCTTTAGACTTTAATTAGGTCTCGACCTTGTTTCCCCCCATTCCCCATCTCTTTTCGCCTTTGCCATAAATCCTTTTTATGCTTTTTAGCCCAAGGGGCACAAACATAATGGCTCACAGTAATTCATGCTTATATTCCAATATAAATGCACCGGTGTGGTCCTCATGCTATAGTTTTACTACCTTTCCCTTTTGTCTTCTCCCCATTTTGAGAAGAAGTTACTGCACTTAATTAGTGCAGTATCACACACTATCTCCTGTCACAAACAATCCTTCATTACACCCCTGAGGGTGTGAATGTGTCTCTATCCAGCCTGCTCCCCTTCTTTAAATATTGATACTCTGATTCTCTCCATATTAGCAAATGGCTGTTGATCACAGACCTCTGCAAGGGTGTGTGTTCGTGCCTCAGAACCTTAATGAAGCAGGAGCAGATGAATATTTAATATCCTCAACGCATCTATCACCATAAATGCTTTTATGTGTCTATTAGCCCCGCAGAGAATTCCTCGTGTGTCCTCCCTTTTTCAGACCCAGAGTGCCGTGAGCTATTCTGAATGCCAACATCTGTGTTTACTTTGTGAACAACTTGATCAGCAAG